AAAATTAATAAGGTGGCTGGATGGAGTATAAAAACAATTTTCCCCATTCTAAAAATAATCAGCTAGAAATGAGTATTGGAAGAAATGTTCCATTCACAATAGAAACTCAAATAGAAAAATAGGAGTAAATTTAACAAAAAAGAACATCTCACATGAGAAAACCTATAAGACTGTATTATTCAAGGTCATAAAGCAAGATCTAAACAAATGGAAAAGATGTACCAAGTTCGTGGGTGTAAATATTTTTATAACACAAATATGTCAAGTTCCCTAAAATTAACATACACATTTAATGCCATTTTACTTTAGATCACAACAGGGTTGAATATTTTAAGTGAATGCAATTATCTTAAAGTTCAGGTAGGTGAATAATGTCTAAAAATATACTAGGAAACAGAAAAGTAATTGTGAGGTTTTCCTTGTCATATACTTAAAACGTACTATAAAACTATTGTAATCCAAACAGTATGGTGTTGCCATAAGAATAAGCAATAGATCAATGAAACAATGGAAGGGTCAGAAATAAATCCAATTATTCAAATATACAACAAAGATGGAATTTAATTCAGATGAATTGTTTATTTAAAAACACAACAACTGACTACCCATGTAGCAGAAAATAAAGTTAGATCTTACAACATTAAAATATGAAGCAAACTAAATCAAAGACATGAGAAAAAAACTAAAAATCCCAGAGGAAACTTTATAAGGCTAAAACTTGGGAACTGAGGAAACTCTTTTAATCAAAATGCAAAACCCAAAAGCTATAAAAATAAAATTCTACATATCCTATTACATAAAAAAGTAATTTTTTGTGTGTAAGGAAAAGATGCTGAAACAATACAGAGTAGACAAAATAGTTGGTGGGAAATTACTTGTAATGTGAATGACAGATAAAGGGTTAATATCTATAATATATAAAGAGCATTCACAAATTTATATTTAAAAAATACAAATTGTTCAACCCTACCCTCATGGGCACTATATATTTAATGTCTCTAAAGATACTTTCCAGTATGCTTTTTTTGGTTATTTAAATATCCTATAGTATGTTTATTTTGTTTTGTTTTTATTGCAATATAGTTGACATATAATGTTACATTAGTTTCAGGTGTATAATACAACATAGTGATTCAATATATGTAAATATTGTGAAGCGATCACCACAATAAATCTAGTTAAGGTCCATGACCTCACATAGTTAAAAATTATTTTCTTATGATGAGAACTTTTAAGATTTACTGTCTTAGCAGCTTTCAAATCTACAACACAGTATTATTAACGACAGTTACCATTCTGCACATCACATCCACAGGACTTGTTTATCCTGTAACTAGAAGTTTGTACCTCTTGACCACCTTCACCTGTTTTGCCGACTCTTTACGCCTCACCTTTGGCAACCACCAGTCTGTTCTCTGTATCAATGAGTTTTGTTTTGTTTAGATTCTTCCACCTCACTACTTAAATTTTTTCCACTGTCCTCAAACCCCAGGGTCCCTGAGGCTGTCAGGCCCTCCTTCCCACTTTCCCAAGAGCTCTCCAGCCTACAGAGAAGCAACTAGGGGAGGGGGACCCTCTCCCCTTCAATCTCAATTCCTGAAAACCGTGGAGCCCCAGGAAAGGGGGTGGTCTGGGCACAGTGAAGAGGCTTCAGAAGTGGCCCCTGAGATGGGGTGGTGAGGGAAGGGCCAGAGAGACAAGGCTGGGGGCTGAGGGACTGATGTGGTGGCCTGTGGGCTCTGGATGGGGTGGAGAGACTCAGCGGGCACTGACCTCCTCAAACCATCCTGGAGGCTGGGCATCCCACGCGCCCCGGCCCTGGCCTGGCTGAATGTGCTGGTCCTGCTGTCAGGAGAGCTGTCACGAGTGTGCGAGCAAGGTGGAGGTGTGGGGTCCCAGGTGGAGAGGAGGAAAGGTCCCTGAGAACCGCAGAAACCATTACCTGCCCTTCTTCTCCCCCAGAGTTAGGTATTCTCCACCTGTCTTCCCCCTTCAGAATGTTGGAGCAATAGCCAGGCACCTGTCACCAATACCTGTTTTCATGGTCCAAGATGGCTGGAAGATCTGATAAGCAGGATCCCCCACTGAGGCCTGAGAGGGAGAGAGAAAAATGGAGGGAGGGAGAGATGGAAGTGGGGAAAGAAGGAGGGGAGAGTGGGAGGCAGGTAGGAACCTACCCACCGCCTTTCTTTTCTTGGGCTCCGGGAGTTCATTTTCTGGAAGTCACAGAAAAGGTGAGTGGCTCTGTAGCATATTAACACCAGTGCAGGTCAGAGTTCTCATCCAAGGTCCAGGGCCTCCAGTTAGCAGCTGATAAAAATAGGCAAAAACTTAATGTCTTTGGGTTTCAGTTTCCATTTACTGAGAGTTCAACTGTAAGAGTAATAGGGCGTGCCCCCTGGAATGTTGTAACCAAGAGTTAAATGAGATGATTTTTTTTAACACTCACCTGAGGATATGTTTATTAATTTTAGAGAGAGAAGGGGGGTGGGGGGACAGGGTGGAGAGAGAAACATCAGTGTGAGAGAGAAACAATGATTGGTTGCCTCCCTTATGCACCTCAACCGGGGATCAAACCCACAACAGAGGTATGTGTCCTGACCAGGAATTGAACCAGCAAACTTTTGGTATACAGGATGACACTCCAACCAACAGACACCAGAGCTGGGGTGATGTTTTTTAGCAAAGTGTTCAGGCCAGCGCCTGGTAAACAGGACCCCAAGTAAATGCTAACACGAAAGTAACACTGGGTCTGACTACTCACCAACCCACTCTGGTGTCCTCAGTGTTGTGGATGTTGACCTGGGGCTCCAGCTGTCCACAGAATTGTTGGCCATGTGGCCAACCTTGCCACCAGCCTGCACTGTCTCTAGTCAAGGTGGGGAATCCCAGGCAAGTCTTCCCCACTTCTTCACACCTTCGGCATGTGATGCCTGGTGTCCCTGGAATCACAGCCGGGTTCATCCAAGGAATCTGCTTTGGGATGCTCTCACTGGCTGGCTGATAACCTGCAGAAGCAACTGGAGACATTTCAGGAGCTCCCAGAGTGTCCAATATAGATAGCACCTAGCTATTCCCAAGAGGTCCTGCAAGATGTGCTGCTAAAATTTAAAATAAAACCAGCATCAGGGTGGGCTGGAGCTGGAATCTGCACAGGCAGTAGGTCTGCACACCAGGGACCTTGTCAGCTGGGAGCTGAGTCATACTCCAGGATCTTGAATTCCTCCAGGGTTCTGACACCAGGGCTGATAAATGGTAACACAGGGCAAAATGTACTCCTGGTGAATTAAATTATACCTTTCTTCACTCCTTTCAGAGCCATTATAGCTTATGGACAGAAATCACCCTGAGAAGTGTACCAATGTCTGTAATCCATTCAGAGCACAAGATATGAAACCCACTCCACCCTACCTCCTGCTACAAAGGGGGCGAGAATAAGCAGAAGGATGTCTAATGAACTGCACGGGAAATACTGTAAACTGGTTAAATGTTTAACACAATTGTGAAATAAAATCAGATTACCCAGAGACAGGCTAGAAATTGTGCAAAATGCTCCAAAGTAGCAAAAGCAAAAAGGTACAAACAGGATGGGCGAGTCTAAGGAGGAATCCTGTAAAATGATGTGCCTTAGGCCAGTCTTCAGAAGGGGTTACAGGAAGGCATAGGGAGAAGGGAGGAAAGTCTCTTGCCTGGCTCAGGCTCCCACCTCTGCAGGTTAAGAACCCCACTTAATAGGGTTGGGACAGTGGCCGCAGGCAATGGCTAGCCCCAGGATCTGCTCTCTCTTCTTCCTTAGTATTAGGACAGTAAAATTTTAGATGAGTACAAAGTCATCCTAAAAGCCACACCTCTGAACTTCCTGCATAGCCAATTGCCAGCTTAGGATTAAGTTCTGGCCAGTGAGATGTAAATGAAGGGCTGTGTGTATGATTTCCAAAAAGTACCTTTAAAGGGAGGAGCGATGCCCTTCTTCAGTCCTCCCTCCTTCCTGGCTGGCTGGAAGGCAGATGTTATGGCTGATGCTCTCTAGCAACTACATTACACGATGAAATTGAAGCTGCATGATGACTGAGGAACACAAGGCTGTGTAAAGGAACCCCGTCTCTGGCTTCCAGGGCTCCCTGCCAGCCTTACATGGCCTACCTCTAGATCTCCTTTATGTAAGAGAAAAAGATATTTCCATTATTGTCTGGTTTTCTGTATCACATAGCTGAACGAAACCCTAACCAATGAACAGAGGAGATGAGAATCCTTTTTGTTGGCAGTGGTGGGGCAAGGACCGTAACAAGTAACAGTTCCCTATGTTGGCAAAGCTAAGACACAGATATGCAAGTGAAGGAGGAGTGTTCCCTGAATTGGCAGAACTGGTAGTAGAGTCAAGATTAATTCCTGGATAAACAGACATGGTGAAGGAAGAAATGGAAGAATCAAGGATATCCCTGTAGTGATGGTTGTGGAAGGTAAGGTCACAGAGGACATGGGAGGGGTTATAATGTTGGACTATGTAAAGAAAGGTGTCACGGCTACACAGGTGAGGTCCCTGTGTTGACTAAGGTTGGTAAAAAGAGGAATTGTTCCTGGAAGTTCTGTTCAAGAACAAGCTCAAATCCTTGTCCATCTCTCTTCATTGCCAGAGGTGTCCCTGTTAGTTCTTCTACTCGCTGACTTCCCATAGCACCCGCTGCTGACCCACAGAGCCTATTGGTCATCAGGGGTTTGGACTGACTGTGAGGGCACCTAGTCCAGCATTTCTCCTCATGTGGTCCTCACAGCGCCCTCATAGGACTGTCCTGATGACTTGCTAAAAATACAGACTTAAGTACTCTACCCAACACCAAATGGAGCAGCCTCTCTGAAGTGGCGCCCATAATTCTGACATATGCTTAAGTCCAATCCACCATTTTACACATGGGGAAACTGAGGCCCAGACAAATGGTGTTTATTGGCAGAGGTCTCACTGCGAGCACTGGGCCGGAACCCAGGAATCAGGACATCCAGCCCAGGGCTTACGCCAAGGCCCTGTGGATCTCCTGTCGCCTGCACCCTTTTTTCTGGCTCCCTTGGGCGGTCCCTGCTAATTTAAAAACCCTCTGAGGGGAAGGGTCACCAGTGAGACCCAAGGTGAGGCCAAGCACCCACCCTCGGCCCTGGCCGCCAGTGCCGGCTTGTCCACCCAGCTCAGCCGCGGTCAAGATGATCCTTATCTCCGGCAACCACAGGAAGCCACAGCTCTCCAAGTTCTGCCAGCTTCACGGTGAAGATACACAACGGCAAAGCATCAGGGATACATTCCGTTTGGTATCCAAGAGAGATGAAAGTGTTTGTAATTTCCTAAAAGGGGGATTATTAATTGAAGAATCTGACAACAGACCAATTGAGAGACATGACGCAATGTTATATTTTGTCTTCTATGTAGATTTTTCGGACAGTGAACTTGGCATTGAAGATATAATTCAAGTACTTGTATAAACATTAGACAAGTGTTTTGAAAATGTCTGTGTACTGGATTTAACTTTCCATGTAAACAAGGTTCACAATATTCTTGCAGAGATGGTAATGGGGGAGTGGTATTAGAGACCAATACGAATGAAACCGCTACACAAATTGGTGCACAAAATTAACTGGAAAAATCTGAGGCTGGTTTAATGGGAGCTGCAGTCCCTGCTGTATCAGCTGTAAAGAATGTGAATCTTCCTGAGATTCCCAAGAAATATTTTGTGACATCAGTATAAAAGTGCCACACTTGTCCTCTTCTAAATAAAAAAGTTAAAAGGCTACTCCTAGGTAAAATCCAAGGGGAAGGGTCATCTAAGTTTACCATGCAGTTGTTTACCAAAAATAGAGGAAGAGAGTCTTAACTTTTGCTCTTGGGTTTAAGTCAAGGTACTGTATAGAAGTTGTGTAGAATCAGGATAGCAGTTCAATGTTGCTTTCCTTACTCTGTGATTTTGAAGAAATTGAGTAGTTCCAGTGTGATTTTATTCCTTTCTTTTCTAAAATGCATTCCTATGACCCAGGCTAATGTGGCTCAGTCGGTTGGGCAGAGTCCTGCAAACCAAAAGGCCACCGGTTCAATTCCCCAGTCAGGACACATGCCTGGGTTGCAGGTTCTGGGTATGGAAGGCAAGTCAATCGATGTTTCTCTCTCAAATTGATGTTTCTGTCTCTTTCTCCCTCCTTTCCCTTCTCTCTAAAATCAAAAATAATAATAAAAAGTTTTAAAAGATAAAAATAACAAACTGTGTTCCTATGGCCCCCTAGGCATGCCTCTCTGCATTGACTATAACAGAATTTTTTTAAAAAGTGTTTGAGACATTTCTTTAAATTATGTACAACCCAAAATGTTGGTGTTTTGTATGGATCACAAGTGCAGTATTCCTTCATTCTCTGTTATTTGTCATAATTGTTATTTAAAGAACCAAGCATGTATTGAATGAAAACATTGTTTAAATAAACTCCAAGGTAATTGGACTTCTAAAGTACATTTCTGTTTTCCTGATACCTACTTTAACAATAATTTTTTTACAACCCTCTGACTCAACAAAGTGAATAAAAGTATATTTTATCACTGTTTAAAAAAGTACATACATTTAAAATTAAAAACAAAACAAAACAAAACCTAAGATAGAAACACAATCTGTGTGGTCTCCCCCATCCTCACAATCCCGGGACAAACGGCAAGCTGAGGACACACCTGTGGCCCGTGGGCACGTCTCCCAGAGCTGCTTGCAGCTGTAGAGACCCCGGCCTACTTTTGCAACACCTACATTAGAGACAAAGGGCCTGCATGCCCTAGAACTCCATGCAGTCTTGCAGATTCACATGACTGAACATTCAACTGACCCCCTCCTGACCCAGAGCATGGGGAAGTACATCAGGGGCTCCAGGAGTAGGACACCCTCCTCAGATTCCAACTCACCCCCCATAATCCTCCATGCAACCCCCCTTCCCACACTGGGCTTCCCTTCTTCCCATCTTCACAGGTGTGGAGAGTGCAGAGGGGGTACTGACATCAATGGCTGCATCCACTCTTGCCCCAGATTCTCCAGCATCTTTGGAAGCTCTACTTTCTTTTCCCTCTCCTGCTGCCTGACTTTCCATAGTACCCACCCCTGAAAGGAATAGAGTTCTGACGCTTCGGAAAGCTTCACAATTGCCTTGCCCTTATCTCCCATGGATCCGTCACGGCACTGCCTCACTCCATCCCCAAGCAATTAGGAACTGCCCTTGTTTTTGCTCTGCACTCCAGCCCCTGCAGACATATCTGGACACCTTTTCTGGCTTGAATCTGCTTTAAAACCAGATGAATGTACGATTTGCCTCCCTGGGAGATTCCAGCTCACCATATGTGTCCTGTCTTTTGACTCCAGCGGGAGGTCCAGGCTTTCAGCACTGACCTCTCTGAGGCAGTCTCTGCTGGGCTAGCTCCTAGAACATGCCCTGTCCTCTCACCTTCTACTATCTAGGGTCTCACTAGTTCATGGTAACACTGGGCTATAAGCTGTCTCTGCCTTCTCTATCTTCATGGTACAGGCCTAGGGACTCTTGATTAGAGAAGTCAGGTAAGGCACTTGCATCGGACAGCTGTTTTTGGAGAGTGACAGGGAGGCAAGCCCCCATCACTGTCAGGGCCTCTACAGGCCAAAAACTTCCACAGCCTTAGACCTGGAGCAGGCCTCTGCTCATTCATTCATAGCGGATTTTTATCATTCTAATAATTCATAATTACCACGTTGGGAGACCTGCCTCACATCCTTTTCTCTCGCAGCTGCACCGGCTGTCCATTTTTCTGTCTCCTATCACCACTCACAGCACTAATAATGTATAGGGACGTGGTCATGACTAGGACGCTGAAGCCTGGATGCCGGGAACCTCGGTGTCCCTGCAGGGGATTTGGGGTGTCTGAAGAGTGGAGGGGCGAAAAGCCAGAAGGTGGGAAGAACTGACAAGGGGGTTCATCTCCGCATTCCATCCCAGTCCTCGAGGACTGAGCGGCTGCCTTCGGCGCCACCTGGCGGCCACCGCCCTCAAGCGGAGAACAGACCAGACTCAGCAAGGATCACCTGTCCTGCGGAGGCCGGTTCCCGCGGGGCGCACGTGCGAGCTGGGGCGGCGGGTGGGCGGTGGATGCCAGCTAGGAAAACTGGGTCCGCGCAGCCCAGGGAGGATCACATCTCTCGATTCGGGCGGATCCCGCGACACTCCCGAGACCTCAGACCTGATGCTCTCGGCCCCTTATGGCTGCAGACGCGAGCCCGGGACATGCCGGGGAGCTAGATGGCTGAGCCAGCGTGAGCGCGCGCGGCCGACCCGCGCGGCGCCCCGCACCGCCGCACGCGCGCACGCACGCCAGGTCGCTCGCCCGCGCTCGCCGGTCCTCCAAGCCGGGGGCGCATATTCCCGAGCGGGTCACCCCGAGAGAGTTAAGCGTCTTCGCGCGGCGCAATCACGCGGACATCGCCTCATACTTTTCCGCCCTCACCTCGAGCGTGAGACACCATCGCGGCTGCATTTTCCCAAGGGCGATCCCCTAGGGCGGGACGTGGTGGTCTGTGCGGCTTCGGCCCCTCGGAACAGAATAGAGGGCCCGGGCCAGGCCGCTCCCACCTGCCCGTCGCGATGGCCAATAAGAGCCTGGCCTAGTGATGTCATACCTACTGGCCCCTAGTGACGATAGTCCGAGGTCACCCGTCAGGAAACCAGCGCAAACCCACCCGCGGGGGTTCCGGAAGTTTCTATTGCGGCAGCGGAGGGCGGCTTCGCACTCCACCCTTTTCCGTGCTACCACTTTGGCTTTTCTTCTGGAGTGTCCGCGAGTCACTTCTCCCCTCCCTCCGTCTCCTTTATGGGGGTCCCCTTTATTTCCACTCATGATCTCATGTCCACATCCTCATTTCCACAGGTGCGCCCTCGTTCCCAAGAGTGTCCCATGTAACCTCTTCTCCAGCACCACCTCCCGTTCCTCTGAGGGGGGGTCCTCCCCCCGCCTCCCACGCCATCCCTGCTGTGTTTGTGGCCAGGAATGCTCACTTATTCGGCGCGCGGCCCCGACCGAGGCTGTCACCCTGTCCTAGAGTGTCCATCCGTCTGTGAATGTCTCTCACTGCGTTTGTGGCTGCCACTGCATGAGACCGTCCGGCTGCGTGTGTCTGTCTCCGCGGGCTTCTGTTCGTCCGTCTGTCTTGTGGGTGTCTGCTCCGCCACTGCGGGTCTTTCGGTCGTGCCGATCACCGAGTATCTGGACGTCTGTCGGCTTCTGTCACTGGCTCCGCCTGGGCCTCGGGGTCTGTGGGTCTCGGCTCCGAGGGAGGAAGAGGGAGAGGAGGTGGCAGCCCCAGGCGGGTGGGGAGGGGAGGGGGCGGAGACAGTGGGCGGAGGCGAGGGCGCCTTGCGGGGCCGGAGGGGGTGTGTGCGGGGGGCCGGAGGCGGCGGCTGTCAGAGTCGGCTCAGCCAGCGCCGGGGAATATCGGCCACCTCCAGCTCCCGGCGCGGCCCGGCCCGGCCCGGCTTGGCCGCCTCAGGTGAGTCTCCCGCCCCGCCCGGGACCCTCCCCCAGCCTGCGGCCCCTTCCGCGTCCGGGGCACAGTGCATTCCCGGAGGGATCCGGGCCCCCAGACCTGACGCCCACTGCGCCCCCAGGCCTGCCTAGCGACGCCCCCTGCCACCCTTCACTCATCCTTAACTCTTCGCTCGCCGCTGAAAACTTACGGTCCCCCACGCAGGGAGTCGGCACCCCGAAGGGCTGGCCGCTGCCTCTGCTCTCAATTTCCTGTGAGGACCCCCGAGCGCCCCTTGCCCGTTGGTCCTCAAGTCTGGGGCCACTGTAAGACGCCCCCTGCTTGGGGCGGAACCCCGGCTACGCAGGCTCCTGGCGCCCGGCTGCCATTACCCCCCACCCCACCCCAATCCGGCGACCCAGCGTCCCCGAGAAGCGCCCAGCCTAAGCCCCCTGCCAGGCCCAGGCATCCCCCTCCCACGGGGACTCCGTCTCTATTTTGGGGGAAGGGGAGGCTCAGCGGAAGCCCCGAGTTATAATTAGCCCTACTCGGGTTTCCTAGTTAATCTCACCACCCCATGTCAGGACGCCGGCGGCTGGGTGAGAGGTGACCGCCGCGAGAGGGGGGAGTTCCGACCCGGGGAATTTTGATCCCTTGGCTGGAGATGCCGGAACCGCAGCAGCTGCTGTCCCCAAAATAGCGCCCCCTCCCCTGCAGCCGGGGATCTCCGGAGCTCCTAAAACAGAGGCGTCCCAGTTCGCTCTTCAGACCCCTTCGCAATGACCGCAAGCCCCTGGACCCCCGCCCCAAGTTACCAGCTGCTTTACTCGGGGCGGGGAGCACGGGTATTTTCTCGGTCTCTACTGCCCCCTGCTGGCAGCAGCGTGTATAGCAGCATCGCGCGGATTGGGGACTGGAGTCTTGGTGTCCAAGGCTGGCAAATCCGTTCACTAAGGCTAGACGACAGGGGTGCGCAACTGACAGACACTCAAGGGTACCAGCGCGCTGTGTCAGACAGTGGATGAGGCGGGCTGGGTGGGTAGGGTGTGGAGTAGGCAGGATTTGGGGTGCCCCAGGACTTGCGCCTCCCGCACCCTGAATGCCCAACCCACCCTCCAGGGCCCTGGCCCTGGCCAACGCAGAAGAGGCTGTGCCTTCACGCCACCGCAAGCGGCCCCATCGGCGCCTCGCCTCAGCGAGGGCCCCGCCCCTGTCGGGTGGCCAGTACGTGAACTGCGGCCTCTGGTGCGGGTGCCCGCATTGCTCGCACTTGGCCCAAACCAGTCCATCCAGCTGGGGGAAGGAGGTGAGGGCCTCTGTGGGGCAGGGGAGGGTATTGCTTGAAAGGTCTCGTCTCTGTTCCTTACATTTGTCTGGGTGTATGTGTGCCTGATCTCTGTCCCCTCTTGCTTCTCTGTCTGCCTGTGTCCTTGTCTCTCTCTGTCTCCCTCTCTCCATTACTCTCTTCCTCTTTGCCAGCCTGCCCCACCTCCTCTGCAGCTTAGCGATAACCCTGGGCAAGAGTGTTACCTAATCTCCTTCCTAGAAGCCTCAGGCCTTCATCCTCTGCCTTTCTTTCTCCCAGCAGCCGCCTGCCTGCCTTGGCAGCCATGAGGCCCCCATGCTGTCCCCTGCACACTCTCTTCCCAGCATCCCGACTTCTTCTCCTCCTCCTCTTCCTCCTGGGAGGAGGGGCAGAAGCTGAGCACCCAGAGGACCCAGAGCTGCTGGTGACAGTGCGTGGGGGCCGGCTTCGGGGCATCCGCCTAAGGGCCCCTGGGGGCCCTGTCTCTGCTTTTCTGGGCATCCCCTTCGCAGAGCCACCCGTGGGCCCCCGTCGCTTTCTGCCACCGGAGCCCAAGCGGCCCTGGTCAGGGGTGCTGGATGCCACAGCCTTCCAAAGTGTCTGCTACCAATACGTGGACACCTTGTACCCTGGCTTTGAGGGCACCGAGATGTGGAACCCCAACCGTGAGCTGAGTGAGAACTGCCTCTACCTCAACGTGTGGACACCATATCCTCGGCCTACATCCCCCACCCCTGTCCTCGTCTGGATCTATGGGGGTGGCTTCTACAGTGGGGCTGCCTCCCTGGATGTGTATGATGGCCGCTTCCTGGCCCAAGCAGAGGGGACTGTGTTGGTATCCATGAACTACCGGGTGGGAGCCTTTGGCTTCCTGGCCCTGCCAGGGAGCAGGGAGGCCCCAGGCAATGTGGGTCTCCTGGACCAGAGGCTGGCCCTGCAGTGGGTACAGGAGAATGTGGCAGCCTTCGGGGGGGACCCAATGTCAGTGACTCTGTTTGGGGAAAGTGCAGGTGCCGCCTCTGTGGGCATGCATCTTCTGTCCCCACCCAGCCGGAGCCTGTTCCACAGGGCTGTGCTGCAGAGCGGTGCACCCAATGCGCCCTGGGCTACGGTGAGCATGGGAGAGGCCCGCCGAAGGGCCACACTGCTGGCCCACTTTGTAGGCTGTCCCCCAGGTGGGGCTGGTAGCAATGACACAGAGTTGGTCGCCTGCCTGCGGACACGGCCAGCTCAGGACCTGGTGGACCACGAGTGGCAAGTGCTGCCTCAGGAAAGTGTCTTCCGCTTCTCTTTTGTGCCTGTGGTAGACGGAGACTTCCTCAGTGACACGCCCGAGGCCCTCATCAATGCTGGAGACTTCCAGGGCCTGCAGGTGACTAATGGCTGGAGGGGGTGGAGCTGGTTCCTCTAGGCTTGTTTTCCCACCCACCCTCTCCCTGGGGACCCCAGCAAGAGGGATCCACAAGACCCACTCCCAAGGGCCCAGGCTTCTCTTCCTTGAGGGCTTGATCCCAGGGTGGCCAGTGGGACAGAGGGAAAAAAAATGCCAGTATATTTTTCCCTTCTCTCCACCTATTCCCCAATTTCATACTATCTTCCTCTGTGGTTATGCGTCTGTAACTGTTCATCTCTCTGGTTCTTTGTCCTTCTGTTTCTGTCTGCCTGTCTGTGTCTGCGCCCACCTCCACCCATTCCCATTCCCATTCCTATTCCTTCATCCTGTTCCCCCAGGTGCTGGTGGGTGTGGTGAAGGATGAGGGCTCCTATTTTCTGGTTTACGGGGCCCCAGGCTTCAGCAAAGACAACGAGTCTCTCATCAGCCGGGCACAGTTCCTGGCCGGGGTGCGGGTCGGGGTCCCCCAGGCAAGCGACCTGGCTGCCGAGGCTGTGGTCCTGCATTACACAGACTGGCTGAACCCCGAGGACCCAGCACGCCTGAGGGAGGCCATGAGTGATGTGGTGGGCGACCACAATGTCGTGTGTCCTGTGGCCCAACTGGCTGGGCGACTGGCCGCCCAGGGTGCTCGGGTCTATGCCTACCTCTTTGAACACCGTGCATCTACGCTCTCCTGGCCCCCCTGGATGGGGGTGCCCCACGGCTACGAGATCGAGTTCATCTTTGGGCTCCCCCTGGAACCCTCGCTAAACTACACCATCGAGGAGAGAGCCTTTGCCCAGCGACTGATGAAATACTGGGCCAACTTCGCCCGCACAGGGTCAGCAGTGTGGAGGGGAGGATGGCCTCTGGGAGCTAGGGAGGCAGGGGGGACAGAGAGAGGACAGAAGACAAGCAAAGAAGGGCTAGAAAGAGAGGGGAAAGTTCACAAAGGAAAAGAGACAAAGGGGGAGAGAGAGAATGACACAGGAGAATGAAAGAGGAAGGAAGGAGGAAGTGGGGTGGCAGGTCTTGAAGAGACAAGGAGACAAGGTCAGCAACAGAGACAAAGATAAGAGCTGAACAAGGAGAGAGAGAGGAGTTACCATAATAGTAAAGAGTGTGAACAGGAGAGCTGGGTCAATCGGACCAGTGGTGATTTTATTAGCTGTGATGCATGAGTGCAAACACACACAGTTTACCTGTCTGAAGAAGGGGACAATAAATCCAGCATGATGTTGGTGTTGTAAAAAGTAAATGTGATGTTTGTAGAGATAGGACTGGGCCTGATTACATAGTAAGGGCTCAATATATCATCAATTTTTTAAATGAGAAACAAAGACAACAATGGAGCAGGAAAACTGAAGGAAAAGAAGGGGAGAGACTCTAGATGAGCGATACTGGAGAAGAGACAGAGGATTAAAGCAGCGGTGGGAGGGAAGGAATGGGGCTCTCCTTGGAGCAAAGAGGGCATGGGGTCTGGGAGCAGCCTGCCTCCTCCTCTCCCCTTTCTCCATTCCCCAACCCCAGGGCAGGTTAGGCTTGCCTGAGGCTGAGCCTTCCTTTTCCTTCCACAGGGACCCCAATGACCCCCAGGACCCCAAAGCCCCGCAGTGGCCACCGTACACCGGGGGAGCGCAGCAGTACGTCAGCCTCAACCTGCAGCCGCCGGAGGTGCGGCGGGGGCTGCGCGCCCAGACCTGTGCCTTCTGGAACGGCTTTCTACCCAAATTGCTCAGCGCCACCGGTACGCAGGGGCCAGTGAGCAGGGGCTGAGCAGAGGGGGGAGAAATGGGGCTCGGAGAGAGGGGGTAACGGAAGCCGGCGGGGTGTATAACCCCTCTCTTCTCCCCACCAGCCTCGGAGGCTCCCAGCACCTGCCCAGGCCCCGCCCACGGGGTGGCCGCCCCGAGGCCCAGGCCCGGCCTCCCCCTACCCCTCCTTCTCCTCTTTCTCCTCCACTCTCAGCTCCCGCGGCTGTGACCACGGCCTCTTCCCCTCCTCCGGCCTCATGGGGCCCCTTCTCTAATGAGAGGTCGGACCGTGGGGAACGGCCCCACTCAGGGACCTCCGACCCAGCGCCCCCTTCCTCCTCAAAAAGACTCAAACTGGACAGGGAGAGAGGTGACCTACGACCCATCTCAGGGACCCACATGCCTTTGTTTAAATGGAAATGAAAATGCCAATTTTCTTTTTTTTATAAAATTATTCCTTGGAGCCTGAGCCTGCTGTTGGGGGGAGAGGGAAGACCCGGGGCTAGATAGCACCTCCCAGTGGGGCTATAACCGTCAACCATTTCTCTTTTTTCCCCCATCAATCCATGGATGCTCCACCCTCCTGATCCCTTCCTTCCTCCCGTCTTCCGGTCATTTTCTACCCCTCCCTCCTCCTTCCCACCGTCCTTCTCTGGACCCCCCTATATCGTCATCCTCCCCGGTCTTTCGTCTTTCTCATATTCTGATCCTCTTTCCACCATCCTACGTGGCCTCCTTACTCCTTGTGTCCTCCTGCACTCACGCCCCCCACCCCATGTCCGTTCCCTGACCTTCCCCACATCCTTCTCCCACCCACTTGCCGGGCGCCCTGGCCGCAGACACGCTGGACGAGGCAGAGCGCCAGTGGAAGGCCGAGTTCCACCGCTGGAGCTCCTACATGGTGCACTGGAAGAACCAGTTTGACCATTACAGCAAGCAGGATCGCTGCTCAGACCTGTGACCCAGGCGGGACCCCCACTTTCCACCGTCCCTCTCACCCCTCCCGGTCCCCTAGTTGTATATACTATTTATCTGAGGTCTGGGATATAACAGAGGAGCCCTAGACCCTGCCCGACCCGACTTTCCCCCAGGGCTCCCAGTCCTCTGCATGTCTCGGCCGAGCCCCCACCCCGCGGTGCCTTTGCCCCTCTGGGCTGCCAATAAACTGTTACAGCCAAAGGCGTGTGAGCCATTGGGAAGCCCAGTTCTGGCAGAACGCCTCCCCACCAGGGTTGAGGGAATGGAGGTGTGGTCGCTGGAGCGAGAGGACTGGCCCTCTTAGAGGTGGGACTCAGGGAGCCCGCCCCTCGCGCAGCTCGAGTCTGCGCAGTAAGAAGGGCGGTGCGGGCGCCGCGGTGCATTGTGGGAACCCTGCGTGTCGACTCGGTCTCCACTCCTTCCAAGTGCCCCGCGAGGCTGTTGCTGGAGTCGGCCTGCTGGTCCTGCAGCCAGCCCAAGACCGGGGGCCGAGAGTAAGTGCTGGAGCCCGAGTTCTCCCTGGGGCTCGCCTCACGCCGCCAGATACATCTGCCCTGCCTCCACAACCTCTGCTCCTGCCGACAGCCCTGGAGCTGCTGAAGGACGTCCACCTGGGCCTTGCCCCCCCAGGCCGTGGCCCTGTTCGCTTGGCCATCCTTTCGGGCCACTACCTCTACTATCACTATGGCTGCGACGGCCTGGATGACCGGGGCTGGGGCTGCGGATACCGCACTCTGCAGACACTATGCTCGTGGCCAGATGGGCAGCCCGCAGGCGTACCCGGGTTGGTGGATGTGCAGGCGGCACTGGAGGACATGGGTGACAAGCCACCTGGGTTTCGGGGATCCCGGAGCTGGATCGGCTGCGTAGAGGCCAGTCTCTGTTTGGACTACTTCAGAGGGCCCCAGGGGCGCCTATGCCACGTTCCCCGTGGAGCTGGGCTTCAGGGGGAACTGGAGAGGCTTTACTCCCACTTTGCAGGAGGCGGGGGGCCTGTAATGGTTGGGGGGGATGCGGATGCCCAATCCAAGGCCTTGCTGGGAGTCTGCCTGAGACCAGGCACTGAAGCCTACGTCCTAGTATTGGACCCTCACTGCTGGAATGCTCCGAAAAACCCCAGTGAACTACAGGCTGCTGGGTGGGTGGGCTGGCAAAAGGTGAGCACCACCTTTGACCCCAACTCCTTCTACAACCTGTGTTTGACCAGCCAGAACTCTGAAAAGCAACTGCATGCCTAGGACTGAGGCAAAGTTCCACGAACTGAGACTCTGGCCCTGCTCACTCACTGTACTCTCAAAAGCAGAGGTTTAGACATTGCCCCATGTTAGGCCCCCATTAAGTCCCAGCAGAGCCTGGGACCATTGGCATCAATAAAATGGCAAAGCCCAGCTTAACCACTGCCCCAGCCAATATTTGGGAGCATCTGTAGGAGTGTATAATATATACTCAGTCAGGAGTCACTGCAGAAGTGCTTTTATTGGCAGTAGGGCTGGACGTACAAAAAATTTTCAGAGCTGGATGGGACACGGCAGTCATTAAGTATAGATGATACCAAGAGTGAGGAAAAGTAGATGGCTCAAAAGAAATCCACGTCATCTGGAGCATCCAGGTCACGGTATTCCACAATAGCCCGTGGGTCTCCACGGGCCATCCTGTGAGGTAAGAAAGAGGTAAAATGGGATGAGAGTTGAGGGTCCCAATCAAAGAGGGCAAGAAAGCTTGGACATCTTAGCTCACTCTCACCTGTTGCGAGGTTTCCCAGGATAACCTCCCTGGCCTCGGAAGGCATCATAGTTCCCTCGGCCAGCACCATAAGGGGCATGGGGATATGGAGGCCCTCCTGTGGGAACTGCAGGGCGGACAGCACCAGCTATGAAAAAGATCAGTGTTGAGTTGAAAACCTATGACCTCAACTACGTCTTAGCTGCTTTCTTTCTCAAACCACCAAGCCCTTTCAAATCCCTCCTATACTTACCTCCATAGCCCAAAATTGGGGGCCGGGGCTGACCATAGGGCATCAGGCCCTGGGGAGTCTGGTGTGGGTAGGGGAGTCCCGGGGTCAGGCCTGGGGGGAGTACAACACAGACAGGAACATGAATTACTGGGGGGGGGGGGGGGCAGGGAGGACACAGACAACTAGCTTTTAGGAATGTGGCCTGAGAGTAAGGCAAAAACTTTTCAGGGGACAACAGGTTAAAGAACCAGGAATTCAATTGTCAAAGGAGAGGGAATGTGACAGACCCTCATGGATCGTATCTTACTCTGGGCAGGGCCAGGTGGCTGGGCTGGCTTGATCTCAGGCAGGGCTGGGCGCTTAGCATCAGTGAGAAAGTTGTTAAAAAATGCCACCTCCTTCTTCACTTCCTCAATTTTCTCTGCATGCTTGTTGAAGATATGTTTGCGTACAAACTCAGGGCCCTGGATGCAGAGAGGAGAGGATCAAAACTGAGCAAGCAGTTCCCTAATTCCCCAAACCCCAAGATAATCACCCTCCCCTCCCACCTGATCCCAAGGAAGTTTCCTCCCAGGTCTGGAGGCAGGTTCCTGGCTCCACCCACTCCTCCCACCTGTCCCACAACACTCTCACATCCCAGACCTTGAATTTCTTGCCACTGAGAGGGCATAGCCACTTATCCTTGCCCAGTTCCTGAGTGTTAGAGGTAACAAACTTTTCCACTTCCTGTTCAGGATCTTTTCGACCCATCTTCTGGGCCTCTTCCTCTGAAAGAGATTCCCGCACACTCAGCAGCGGAGTCAGCTTCTCCTCAAATGTCTTCTGCCACTCTAATACTGTGGTTTGGGAACAGAGACAGATAGCAGGTTGGAGAGGGGAAAGTGACAGCACTGCTCCAGAGCAGAAAACTAGAGGTAGCTGGGGAGAAAGGGAAACAAAGGAAACCCAGGCAAGGAGCTCACCTTCCCCATGACTGATGCGGTTGGGTGGCATGGGTCCCCGAACATGGATGATGCCACAACGGTTGGGCATTTCATCCTCATTGGGGTACTCGCATGTGTTATAATAATCCAGGGAATGCACAATGCGCAAATAGAGGAGAAGTTTGTCCAAAACCTAGGAGAAAACGAGAAACCATGAGTTCACCACACTCTTGCCCTTTACCACCCCAAGCCAGGCTCTCACCCCACACATTGCTCTTGCTGGCACCTTGATCAGCTTCTCATCTCGTTCCACATTGATCTCTGCTGGGTTCCCTTCCTTAGGAGGCTCCTCAGGGGGTGCCCCTCCACTGCTCCCCAGCAGCTCCTCCTCCTCAGCACTCACTTCCTCAATCAGATAGTCAGTGATATTCTTCAAGATTGGGTTCTGAGAGGGCAGACTCTAGTTTGGAGGGAGGAGAGGCAAGTGAAATAGAAAGCACCTCAGGACAGGTAGCCCAGGAACCTAATTTGAAATGGCAAAGTGAGGCTGAAAGAACTCAAGCCTCACTTGGCCTGTTATCACTGCCTTAGGATTTGTCTTCAGGTTTGTACTTGTACTACCATACCCCACAAATAATCACTAACACCAATCTGTTCTGCCGGAGGTGCTGCCTAAATAAAGAGGGGCCAAGAAATGGGAGGGTACAAAGAGACATTGCCACAGATCATATGAGACCAGAAATGCCCACAGATGAAGGGGTATAGGCTACTTTTGAAAAAGTTCAATGATGAGTCACTGACTGTTGGCAGAGGAGGTGTCCCAGGTTCAGAGGCCCAGAGCTGGGTCCTGTCATCCAGTGTATGGATCAGCTTGGCTGCCAGCTTGATGTCATTGCGCACTATCTGCTTGTGTTGGGTAATACCATTGATATTGCGGACGCGACGGGTCAGGTCTCTGTTCACGCCAGGACTCAGCTCACACTCCCGGAGCTAAAAGGTACAGAAAGCTTACCAGCACTTGCCCAGGAAGCAGCAACCTAAAAGACTGACCCTGTTGAGAGCACCAGTGATTAGCCTCTGAGTTCTAATCCTATGTGTCCCAGGGCCTAGCCCACACACAACAGTACACAATTAATGTGAGCAGACTGAATGGATGAAACAGGGAGTAAAATGGAAAAAGAAATCAATGAGGACAGCAGTAAGAAGTGTGCGGAATACAGCCACACCTCTTCCTCAAAACAGCCCTGCTCCCAGCACTCACTCGGATATTCTGCAGATTCCAACAGATCTCTTTGATGTTAACACTGCGGTCAAATGTCACCCAGCCACGACGGAAAAACCTAAAAAATAACGGAGATGTCAACATAATCCTGGGATGGAAGTGATGTTGGCCGTTAACCTTCCCCTGCACCTTTTCTCCAAAGTATCCAGGGTCACACTTCTCTCCATTCCTCACCTCCTCTCAGGCTGAGGCTCTGATAGTGCCACACGCATAAAGCCTGGATATCTTTTGCAAAGCTGGAAAAGCAAAGGAACAGAAACCCCATTTACTGATTGAAGAATTGACTTTTTCCTTCAATCCCCATGTCCTTGGGACCTTAAGGAACTGCCTTTGAGCTTTTATTTGGTAAGGAAAAACCAAAGAAGAACTTAAAGAGTGACAATGCCTGAAAGTAAATGGTGCAACCAGGACCAACCCCTGAAAGACATGGGCCCATGGGAAAGGAGCCTCCCTGTTAGAGAAATAGTGATGTACATCAGAAGCAGTGCCAGGTTATTTCCTCCCCACTTAGTGCCTCCTCCTACCCTCGAAAGAATGGAGCCTGGGTATTGTCCCTGTCCCCAATGACATTTTCCCCCACTCACAGAAATGATCTCAGCCCTGGAAATGTTGGGTGCAATGTTGCGCATAAAGAGGGAGCAAGTCTTATGCAGAGGCCGGGGTTTACATTCCAGCCCAGGAGTGTCCTTGGGCTTCTCCCTTTCTTCTTCCTTGGGTTTCTCCTTTTCCTTGAGAGCTTCTTCTACGCAGGAAGTGGTGGGAGTTGGTGAGTTTTTATTGTTGATTTTGAAAGAAAGGATAGAAAAGCTGTCAAACTCCCACCGCACCCCCCAGTCTCTCCCTAGAGGCCACCCTCCCATCAATTTCACCAACTTCACACCTACCCCACTATTCGTAGGAAGAGACTGTACTAGAAGCAGAAAATAAAACCTACCAGCCTCCTCCTTCTCCTCCTCAGCTTGGCCACTCTCAGACTCCGACTCTGACTCAGACACGCTGCCTTCATCAAAGCTGTCATCACCACTGTGCTTCCTATTCCGCTTCTTGCTACTCTGTGGGAGCCACAGCAAGAGGACATGAGCCAGATAACAAGGACCCCTGCCCTGATATTGACCCCATGCAAGAGATGCCTTACCTTTTTGGCTTCTTTCTCAGAATCTTCTTTCTTCTCTTCCTTGTCTCCATCACCCTCAGATTTCTTAGTTTTGTCATCACCAGAACTGCCATTTTCAGCCTACAGGTAAAGTCAGTCACTGGGATCTCTCTCTCCCCATCAACCCCTTCCGCTTCAACAGCTGAGCCCACAAGTTCACCTCTCCCTTATCTAATACACAGCCCTCTACTTCTAACTCCTGTGGACCCCACTGCCATCGAAGTAACTTCATTCTCTTCCCCTGGCACTCACAGGCAGCACCCAGAGACCCCAACACTGACCTGTTTGCCATCTTCTTTCTTGTCTTCCTTCTCATTGACCTTGCGCTCTCCATCCACCAGGCCTGATCCAGCCCGGCCTTCCTCCTTTTTGCTGGGCTCCCCAGGCTTTCCTGCCTGTTCCTCCTCCTCCTCCTGCTCCAGGATGCGTAGATCATTCTCTGTACCTCCTTCCATCTTAATCACAGCTACCAGCAAAGGGAACATAAGTCACAATCCAAGGGCTTTTGCCTTCGGCCTCCGGCTTTCTGTCAACCTACTTCTGTTTCCCAACTAAGAACTTGATCACGAGACATCTATTGCCCCAAACAATCTGCACACCTGCATCCAGCATCTTGACAATGGCATCAGCTTTGTCTATGTCCAGGAAAAGATTATCAAACCAGCCACTCTCCATGAGGGACAGGAACACCCTCAGTCGGTTTTGTAGGGCGCCCCGGGCCTCCTGCCGACGCTTCCCCACCTCATCTGGGTGGTACTTAGACCGAAACCTATAGAGGACGTGGGGAGGAAAAAGACAAAACTGTCACTAGAGGCCAAGGCCAGGACATTGGAAGGGGCCCGGGAAAATCAGGACCTCGCCCCCATCCTCTCACACCCACAAAAGATCATAAAAGCAGAGACTGGGGAAAGGAGTATAATTAAAATACCCAATATTCCCAAAGGAACCAGAGTTTATGCTCTGAGATTTTGGGGAGAGCCAGGAACTAAGAGTTCTGGATTTGGGAACAGTAATGACTATAGGGAGAACCAGGGTTGGAGAGGCAAATTGATTGCCTTAAGTCTCTGAGAAACACTAACTTTAAAAGTGTAGTTTCCCAAAGTTTCTGAGAGGAAGGCTAAGGAAATAGTAGGTCCCAAAGTA